CAAGTTTGATGAAAATTGAATAATTTATAAAGGCATGTGAGACAGGACCATCATTACAAAGTTCATCCGATCGAGTTGAACGTAAATGATAATAAAACGCAAAAGTATAATATTATCCTTGACTAAAATATTCACTTTATTTTATTTCAACTAATTATCTAACTCTAAACAATACACTCGCATTGAGAACAGGAAAATCCGAACTGTGATTATTGTATCAGCATGTCTGTAACGCATATTTTATCACACATTGTAAGAATATTATCAATCCAACGAAAAACATCTGTAAAAATCGCTGAAGAAGGACCTGTGAGTTCCGAAACGTACGACATTTCTGTTAGCTTTTTGATAATTTTTTATGTTGTAAAATTTAAGAACAATAATAATTATTATTAAATCCATTTAGCTCGATTTAGACCGTTTAATTATTTAATTTGCATTGCAAAAAGCGAGCAAAATTTATTAATTTCTAAATAAAGTAATAAAGTTAATAAAGGCTTTAGCTAAATTTTCTTTCACTTCTTCATTTACGTGTAACCATAAATGTAACTTTTACTATATTCTGTCTAATAAATATTTCGTCATATCTCCTTTCATTCATGTGGCCACCCTATATTTAACTGCACCACACGACTGTCTGGATAGCCGCAAAAGTGCAATCGCCTTTCGTAGGCGTGAATATGCACGTGTGCGTCGTTGGTCGCGTTCTAATTACAAAATCTTGTTTCGAGAAGTGGACTTTGATCTAGAAAAAAAATAACTAGTACACGTTTATCACCTTTCTGGTTCTTTATTTAAAATACTGGCTTTTCGATAGACGGAAAAATCTTTGGCTCTAATCGAGTTAATTTTTTTTATGTAGAGACGTTGATTTTCTTCTGGTTTTGGAAAGCAGAGAGAGGTGGATCAGATTCGATAATTTCAAGAGAGAGAGAGAGAGAGATCATTTTTCATAGAATGTCACGTGTTATCATATTAAACATTTTGATATGACTGACGTAACTTTATGATAAATTAGCATAGCTGTACTTTGGTTTTGTGCGGCGTCATTTACATTTCAAATGCATAGACGTAATAATAAATATGTACATTTCTATCGTATATTGTACTTTTTGTTTTGTCCTCCTTTCTTCGAATCGATTGAATCCTTCTATATCATTTTAAACACAACATGTGACTCAGCAGAAAAAAAATATCGTGGGAATTTATACATATCAAAAAGAAAAACTTAACAAAACCAAATGGAAGCTGAATTAGCAATTAAATTCATTCATAAGCATTTATTAAATTTGAGTATTTAATTACGCGTAAAAATACTTCTTACGATTTCGACAGTTCATTAATTCGGTCATTAACCAAAGATAACACTATCCGATCATAATTTTGTCTTTGGCTTGCAAAGTATCATTTCTAGAGTATTTTTTTATGCTAAAAATAATGCTGTTCTTAGAATAGGCCTATTACATTTCCGAAAAAACTGAGATAATATAGATCACAAATGAAAATTGCAGCCATATTTAGAGCGATATAATAAATTAATTCGCACGCAATATTTTATTTTTGTAATTACATGATTTATATTTCTTGAACTTGAAAACAATAAAAAGTTAAATAAAAAAGAATATTAAAAAAGACATGTAACAAAGATCGCCTCTAGTGGTGCACTCTGGAAACATATTGTAACTAAATGATCTTGTATGCTAATCTCGGAATATCAAATCCAAGAAACACAAATTATATAATCATAAAAATAAAAATGTGCACAAACCAATTATATTGTCATAGTAAGACAATTATATTCTCATAATAAGACATGACACTAATTATACATGATAAATCTATAACTTTAAACCTGTATAACTTGATCTTAAAAAATCATACAAAAATAAAAGAAATTCATTTTGAGGGTAAAAAATAGCACTTTAAAAGATAATGAAATTGAAAAAATATTAAATTCTTTTAAACGAGATGTAGTTCCAAGTATAATAAAAATAATTATTTTTCCATGCCTACCTCATATTTTCGCTCGAAAATGAGACGTGACAGAATATTTCTGAATACGCGGATTTAAATTCAGCGCAAATAAAAGTTTTCAAGAAATAGCACTTTACAAGTCAAAGACAAAAAAGTCAAATTTTGTCGGACAGTGTAATAAAAGGATTCTTTTTCCATCGCTCAATTTTCAGCTTGGAATTTTGAAATTCTAATTAAATGTCAAAGAATGTTAAAATTCTTTGAAAATAAAGTTGTTCACTGACAGTTTATTAGCCTAAAAATCAACAATGCTAGTTTTTAACGTTAATACTGAACTTGTATGTTGCGTCATCGATCGATAAACAATTCTACTTTACACGTTCTTTGCTGATAGAAATGTACATTTATATATAGTTTCTCTTTTTGTATATTTTATTATATTTAATAGCATATTTAAGCGTTTCTGTTACTAGAATAAAAGATAGAGCAGATGAGAAGTAAAATGTGTTTCTTCCCGAAAAATGACGACAAAATGTGCTTCTATCCAATCGATTAATGAGGCCCGATTCGATTTAACCGTGAGCAATATGTTGACACGTCATAAATTGTGCAAACGTCGAGCCTGGAAAGCGATGTACGCGTGACGCGGACGAGTTCTGTTCAACGACGAAACGCTTATTTAAATCGCCGCGAGTCTCGCGAAGCCTCGTATTTTTCTACATTCGATTCGACGACGGCTGACGTTTCTACGTGTGTACACGTGGCACAGAACTGTGACTGTGTATGTACATCGTGAGAACCGCGGAGTCGAAGAAACAACAAATCAGCTCTCTTTAAAATACACTTTCTACGCATTCTTTTCCCGTCATCTCTCCTCTTTCAACCTGCACTCCGTCGTTTCTCGCGTTGACAAAAAATGCAACCAGCTGTAAAACAGGTCTAACGATGCAACGGTATGTCACTCGGATACTCGGGAAGCACCGTTAAAATATTTGCCGAGTCGAGGCAGATAGAAATTCTGCAGTATCAGTTTAGTTCCGAACGCGTGAAATTTTGCATGGCTCCGTTAAAAGCTCGAAAAATCCGCTATTATAATTGATTTGTATAATTAGATGATATGAAAAAAAGGAATGTAAATGTCTAGGACGTAAGTAATAAAGCTAGAAGCCCCCTCTTCAATTGAGAAAAAACGGATTCTTAAAAAAAAAAAAATTTTAGAATAAAACTTGAAGACTCTCACTTTGAAGAATAAAATCTTATTGAGTGCTTTTTATTTACAGATTTAAATCAACACAAACATTTTATCTTCTTTGACATTTAGAGAGTAACAACGATATAATAGAAAGACACAAGTCGACACAAATGTGTCCAAAATTATTTACTTTTAAAGATTAACAATTGTGCCATTCATTTTCAAGATTGACTCAATTTTCATTCCTTACTCTCTAAATTTCTTGAAGTAAAATTTGACTTCAAAAGAATGCAAATATTTTCACTCTTTTTTCAATAGATATTTAAATATTTTCTTTCTTTTGGAGTGAGATTTCACTTTAAGAGATCCCATTTCCAAAAATTTAGAGAATAATGGAATTTTTCTAAAAATACATGTTTAATTTATTGTCGCGTATATAACAGCTATTTATTTTTTATTCATTAACTGAAAAAGAGGACGTAAAAAAGAACTATCTATACCAATAGCGAATTCGATTGAATACACTCATTATCATATCAATGCGTACTGGTGCACATTAAAGCCGTGTACATAAATTGAGATAAAGACACGTGTTTACTGTAAACATAAAAACCGTTTAAATCGTGAAATATTTTATTGTTAGGGAAAATATTAAGTATAATGTATTTTATAATTCAAAATATTTGCATTTTTTTCACTGTTACACTCAGATTAAATCAGTGTATAACGGCTGTAATATGTCCAGTGTTTTCAATCGAATCAGCCATAAAAGAAGAGGACAGAAACTCTCTAACAATAAGTTTTAAAAGTACATACAAAAATAAATGTAAATAATTCTGGCTAATATTCATATAAGTATTATGTGTGTAAAAATAAATATAATTCAATGACTGATATTCACCTAGTTCGTTCTTATTATATTTTAAGACGGTCTTAAGTACAATCTTAAAATGTCATGAACCAATCATAGAACTGTATATTATCATCTCAAAACATTATTTAGGATGATTTCAAAATAAGAATATTGTCTTGTGTGATTGACTAATCTTAAGACCATACTTAAAATAAACTTAAATATAAGAACCGATAATGAACATCTAAAATAGAGGACAAGAACTTAAAGATAACATACTTTAAGAAGCGATATGTATCGAAAGTGTCGGTATATAGAGAACAGCTTATCTCGACACCACGAAATATTTTTATCATTACTTTTTTTATGTGTATGTATCATTCTTCTATTAGTTTCTTGTTGACGAATACGTGCATTGGCGTGGCCAATCGTTCTTGGCTAATCAATTATTACGTCGCAGAAGAGCGTAAAATTACAACGGAATTCGAATTCCACGCGAGTATATCCAGATGTATATTTTGTATGTTACATGTCAATTTCATAAACGAGAAAGTGTGATCCTCGATTCAAACATGGATGAAATAATTGCTGCGAAGGTCAAATATCCTCATATCCCAGAGTCCATTTAAACTTATGTTTCCATCAGAGAATAAAAAGGCTGTAGAAAGGAAAGAGGAAAAAAAATGCTATGTATCCCTGAAGAACAGGCTTGCTTGCTTTTTCTCTCTCTCTCTCTCTCTCTCTCTCTCTCTCTCGCCTTGAAACATCTGTGCCTTTAAACGGAGAAGCTAACCCTCGCAAGCTATTGGTTGAAGCGCGAAGGCGTGCGGCCGCGCCTCCAAGCCGAAATGTAAGCCACCTCTCTCTTTCTCTTTCTTTCTGTTCCTCTCTTTCACTCTCTTTCTCCCTACAGTCCCTGTCCCTAATAATAGAACAATCCTGTTACACGGACGTGATGTGGCTTGCGTGCGTAATACTCACTGGCGAAACGTATACACGCGTGCCTGTTCCTAAGTTTACGTGGAGACGATGGGACGTTGCAGCTGGGCTATCACGAGGTTTCTCGCCTACGGTGAGGTCCGACGCGACGGAACCGTTGCACCGAGGTCGAGCTTGACGGAACTCACACTTTATATTACGCGCTACTTGCGTTTAATTGTCGTTTTCACGCACCGCACCCGTCAATAACACGTAGGAATGAGTCAGAACACTACCGCAGAGTGCAGACTGCTGCAGACTGACCAGGACTGATCATGGACTCCGGACTGGCGTGGACCCAACCGACCAACTCGGAGTACTTGGACTGACTGAGGGCAACTACTGAGGACCCGAGGCACACGCAATAAAGCGGGACGGCGGCGCTAAAGTTCGGTACGCACGCGCGGTGTAAATACTTCTTCGGTGAATGCAAACGTATAAGTGCTTCAGGCTGTCAGGCAGTTCTAGGTAATCTAGGTTCCGCTCGCCTCCTAGTCTTCAAAAGAAACGTATACGAAAAACTAGGGGGAAATACTATACTCTACTGCTATAGTATACGCTACAGATACTATAGTATATCCGTAGTTTTTGTACCGTTGCTTTTCAAAAATATAAAAGCCATGCCACACAAAAAACTTATTGACCAATCACAGTAAAGGCCGTAGGGCATAACCACAACGTTGATTTTCTTACTGCTTATGTCTTACTGTCTTAAGATTTTTGTGTGCCACAGGACCCTTTAAGTCTCCCTGCATGGTCAATAATACTGAATCAGTATTACTGACAGTATACATTGGTTTTTATACGATGAGGTATTATTGATAATATTTCACTTCAGTTTGACGTGATTTATTGACGTATATTATTATCTATCTATGGCGACATGGATCTTAAGGAAAAAGCATGTATTTAAGTCCAAATCATCGTCAGTATTCTACGTCAATCCATTAATATTAACCACACACAATCAATAATATTGTCAAGTATTCGTTGATTGATACTGACAGTATTACTGACCGTGTACAGAAGCCTCCTTTAGGACCCGTACAGATTTCCTCTGGGATCCTCAGGGGCGTGTTCAGATTCCCACCCGAGTGCTCCCCAGGTGTTATGTTATTAAATAATAAGGATAGAAGGATACCTGAGTAGCACTCAGGTAAAAATCTGAACGTAACCCAGGTTAGCCTTGTTTAACATTCGATCATTCATTGGGTAACAAGGACAAATGATATAGTGCTGGGGGTGGCACTTGGGTGAAAATCTAAACGCAGCCCCAGGTGGAGGAATAACAATAAGTTATGCGCAGGTAACCAAGGTTCGTGGAATCATAAATCATCTTGGCAAATATATGGAAAACAATCTCATAAAAAATTTAACTCGCTGTGGACAATTATTAATAATAATAAAGTTTTATAAAGTATCAAAATTATGATCGTTTTCCTTTTATAGGCAACACAAAGTCCAAACGAGTTCTATTTTTGTTATATTATTCATTGAATGCCAACAAGGATAAAACGATATTTGTATATTTTCGAGTATATCCTTTAAAAGAAAAGCGGCTTATAATAACAGAGTCGATAAATAATAATACATACGTAATTTTGCAATGGATTGACCGTCCGAACACTGACGTCACAGTCGCATGAGTCTCGTAAAGTCGACGAGAGATGTCGCCACTGTGACGTTAAAGCGGACGTTGCACAGTTATGTGCATTCGATGAGAAACAGACCAGTTCCATGAACATTCGAAGGAAGGCGGAAGTAATAAGATATGCCTAATCTACAAAGAACAAAAAGAAGTTCACACACTGCGCATTTAATATAAAGTAAGATATCGAACTCGCTTGTTTTTTCCGTACTCGTTGATGAAAAACCGCTTCGAGAAATCAAAGAATGTATAATTAATCCGGTTAGAGATGATGCGAAGTTAATATCTTTGTATTTATGAAAATATCTTTGTATTTAGGCCGCGAACGTGCAAATAACAGGCATTTATTATCTAGGTTTTAATCTTGAAAAATATCACATATGAAAGTACTACGAAAATATATATAATATATACACAACTTATTATACTACAGTATTTTTATATATACTTTATGCGATATTTTTTAGAATGCGCAGCTTAGTGACCAACCATCCCAAATTAGAAGAGGCAGTGTCAAATTTTAATTTTTCGTCCCACTTTACAACACGTCCCGAGTTTTGAATTAAGGGCCTGATATATATTTTATAGGTATTTATTATATTTATTATTTATTTATACTAGTATTTATATTTTTATATATAAATTGCTTATATAGTAACATCTAAGAAAATAATTTAAAATCTTTTGAAGATACTTAATTGAATCTTGAAGACATTATATAATAATTCCATTTAAATAGGTATAACTTCTTGCGGAAAGATTTTGCTCGATAACTAAATGGGTAGATAATAACAGCATTCAAACATCATTTGTGCAATACATTTATTAGGTATTCAGCATTGAGAGTCAATCGGCATTTCCTGATTCCGAGTTAAACCTCCGTGACATAAATCTTTGTAAAGCATCCGTAATATTTAAACCACCATTATCTCCTAATCTCAATAGCGTGGGATCGTCCTACAACTTCCCTTTGCAGACACGATATTCTTGGAGAAATCTTTCGATCTATATTCAAAGCAAACAAAATAAAATGTTCTGTACGCTAAACGTAGATCAAATGGCTCATATCTCATTGATAGTGTCCTCGAATAGAATTAATAGCGGAAGTGACGAATTCTGCCAAGCCTTGTATTGTCTTTTCACGACTTTCCTACGAGAACATCGCGGGAACGGTGAAAGCAAAAGCGGAAATACAATATTGGCGATAACAATTCTGGGAGAAACGCCGATAAACGCGAATCGCGTCAATCGATAGAAATAGAAATTGTTCGTTCCGGCAGTTCGATTTCCTGCGGGCAGCCGGGAATTCGTTTCACGCGAAAGAAAGATACGTCGTTTTCGCTAATGCCTGACAATACCGGGACGAGCGTGGGAAACAGATGAGATTCGATTGCAATCTCGTCATTTCTTATTATCTAGTCATTCTCCAGACACTCAACGTGTAATCATGTGTTTTATAATGAAGTCTCGATCTCTCAAGGTTTCAGGTTGGATATAATCCCCTCAGAGAACTTTGTTTTTTCCATCACAGAGAAAAACCTTAGGTATCAAGTGGACACATGCAAAATTATCTTAAAATATTTTCATTGATATACAAATTAGGAATCAGATATTTATGAAAATATTTACGGCAATGATTTTCTCTTGAAACAGTGAGATAACGAAAGTATGTTTTATCTAAAATGAACAAACAGGAATTAGAAGACTTACAATTAATGAATTCATATTATCGATCGATAAAAACGATTAATTAATTATTTTCTAAAGAATTTTATCTTGAAAATGTGTGAATACATATTATTAAGAATTATATTATAAAGAAACTAATACGAGTATAAATTTAATTAAATAGTAATAAAAAGGATTCGAAGTATTTGGCTTCAGAGAAATTTTTAGTTTATAATAATTAAATTTATTTTAGCAGGATCATAATTAAAATTTAATAACTTGTCGATTCTTGACAATTAAATTGCGGCATTCATTATTTTTCAATATGCGGAATATTAACGGTCATATGGTATTATTACAAAAGTCCATTTTGTTTCTGTCTGTAGGATAATCTTGTGGTAATTGTCAATTATACTGATTTGGTAACATCGCGGAGATGTAGTATTTCGCGTCTTTCCGTCTGGCACGCAATCATCTGCGACTAATTGTGAGCGCGGTGATCATGTATCTAATGGTAAATCTCGGGGATGACGTTCCTCCGCGTCAGACCCTTTCCAAGGGGCAGAACTTTCACGGTGCGCTACATTCTTTGAACATTATCCCGTTTCGATCGATTTGATCGGCGCTCGGTTAATTTAACACGGTGAAACTCTACTTGCTGCATCGTCGTCGCCTCGAGTGTGTTCCTCTTCGCTAGGCGCCGATTTCGAAGTCAGTGACCAGTACTGCCTACCTAGCACTAATACCATTGTCTAAATTAATCAAACGACATCTACGATGATAGAAAATTACGGTTTATAGAGTATTATAAAATAATTCTTCCCCCTGATCGCGCTATACATTGTATAATGAACTTCGATAAATGACGAAGTATATCGGGGGGTACTTATATAATAATTTATTAAACAAATTTTTTTACAATTATAGATTAGCTGATATTTCGTCCCACATATTTCAAATAAGATATTTCAACATTATTCTATAAAAGTAAACAGTAAGTTAATGAAATTATTAACATTTCTGTTATTCTTTTTTAAATTACAGTTGTATTTCTGCACAATTCTTTAAATAAAATTTAGAAATTCCTTTTTATCCTGATTTTCTTGCGATACAAAATATCTTTTTATTTATACATAATTTAAGTTTTCAACTATAAAAAATTATAAAATTGTTTTGTTATGAATAACAAAAGCGATATATTGTAATCCAATTATTTTTTGTCTCAGTACTACCTCGTGATAATTCTTTCATTTTTTAAAATATTTCTTAACAGTTTATAATTTCTGAATTTTTCTTGACTTGTAACATACTATAGACAGAAAAGAAAAATACTGCATAGACGAGGAAGCTATAATCAATATCAATACAATGTTAAGTAACGGTAATGCGTTCATTGAAAGATTAAATTATCAGAGAATATCATATCTTTAATGAGGCAAGCTTGCTACAAATTAATGTCGTCCTATTTTAAAATCTTCTTATGTGGCTCGAAAGAGACTGCGTCATAGCGTAGTAGACTACAGGTTGATCGAATCGGGTCAATGCACCTTCCCTTCGAAACCTAGTTTGATATGTGGGTATCATGGAAGGACAGTGAAATTTCTTCACGCGACTTACCTGGCGCATCGTTTACGCTTCTCTTTGATGCCGACTAGATGATCCTGACTCTATTCCCATCGCACGGAATTTCCAACGAAGCGTGAAAATCGCGTCTCTTTTCGCGTGAGAAGGCCGCGCGCGAAACGAGGTCGGAGGAAATCGGCGACGAAGATCTCGGCGATGACGCGATATCCATCCGGACTTTTGACGACCGTCGGAACGGAGAAAGCGATACGTGCCGCGTCAATGGTGTCTGTGACTCATTTGACATCTTCCATACAAATCTTTGCTTGTATTTCTTGTCATTTCTCCTATTATGACCCAACACTGTGATGCGACGACATATGTATGCTCTTGAGAATCTTTCGGTTATTAACCTCTTATCGAGTTTCACTTTAT